CATTGGTGAATGCCACAAATTCTCCTAAATCACTCGTACGCACAACTTAAGAACAAATCTGTGCGTACGAACGGTTCTTGCATGAGGCCCATTGTGTTTGTGACAGGCTGCTTGTAACAAAATGCATAAAGGTTCCATTTAAAATTGTTTTTGAAAAGTCGTTTGTCAACTCAACACTCGTTCATCTCAAGTTTAAAAGTCTTTTATTAGAGATGCTCAATATTGACTTTTTGCCGATATTTGATATGCTGATATTGTTAAACACTTTATTTTTGATTCTGATATTAACCGATATTACAAACCAATTTTAAGCTGACAGCAAATATCTCCTGTCAGGGACATTTTGCCTGCTTTTACTGCGATACCCCACTGGATGCATTCCATAGGTAAACATTATCTGTACAAAATAAAAACCATTTCGCTGAAGTTATGGAAAAAATGCCATATTTATTTTTAACATTTTGTCTCAAACAATAGTTTGAATCATGCTCTTCCTGCGATAATTCAGTTTGCTGATGTCATCAATCGCGGACCAATGAATGTCTCTGGACCACACGCTTTTATTGACACATTTTGGTCAAATTCAGGCGTTAATTTATCGGGCTTTTGTTATCGGAAGAAAAACTGATACCGATACGTAGAGATATTACATTTTTATGCCAATATCAGACAGATAATATCTGTAGGCTGCTATTATCAGACATCCCTATTTTTTTATGCCTGAATAATTCATAGTTCAGCTCTGTGACTTAATTACAAACAATATTTTTCTAAAAAAGATAAAATATTACTCGACTAACAGTTTATTAATACTCCCAATGAAAAAAAATTACTTTGAAAGACCTTCAAACCTTAGAGGAACAATTATTTTGAATATTTCTTTAAAGATTACAAGTAAAGTCTGACTTCTGGGACAGAAAACATAAAAAAAAAAAGAAACTGGACCTTTTCTGCAGAACTTTAATTGCTGTTTTCATCATGCAGGACAATTTCAAAAGTTTTAGTTTTGGTAAAAGTTTTAGAAACTCGGTGGCATTCGGATGCGTGAACATGTTCAGTACACACCTTCTGTAGTCTCTGCTGGTTCCCACTGAGTGCACACACACACACACACACACACACACCTCTGACCTCTGTGTGGCGTCGCTCAGCATTACTGCCACAGAGTGAGCGATGTGTTGCAGCGCAGTGTAGAGGTGAGAGGAGGGTCACATCGTCCTGCTAACACGCCACATGTTTGATTAATGCACCTTTCTTTCCATACCTAAACTCTGCTCGTGCCTCTGCCTCCAACAGTTTACCTCACTCGACTTTTCTTTTGTTGTTTTTTGTCTTCTGTTCATCATTCTTTTATGTATCTGTTGTATTTTCTCCTAAACCTGTTTGTTGCTCTGTGTTTGTCCTCAGGACTACGTTCTGGCCGTGGAGACTTATCACTCCATCATCCAGTACGAGCCCCAGCAGAGAGTGCAGCTGCTCAGTGGTATCGGACGCATCTTCTTGCAGGTCTGTACATTACCAGATGGGTGGATAGATTATGGGACTTTAGCTCCACGGACACGGACAGAATTGATTATTTAAGCTTTGCATAATGCAGGGATGTGAGCGCATGTAGGTGATTAAAAAGAGCGCTACCTGAGGCAAAAAAGCAAACACAAGATGCCGTGGTTTAATAGAACACCAGATAGCACGTTTATGCTTCAGTGGAATAGAAATAAACTCAGCTTTGTTTATGGAAAACATGTTTGTCAGATACATAATAAAAATCATTGGGACAATCAAATCTAAAAATAAAAAAATACAGAAAATATAAGCACAATTGTTCTGGAGGATTCCACAATCAGCAGGTTTGTTGGTGTCAGGATGGAATGAAAAGGAACAAAATACGTAAACAATCTAAATTTAGTTTAAGTGAATTTTTATTGCCTTGTTTTTTTATTAAGCACACACAAGGACCAGCTGTTATTTTACTCTGTTTTTTTTTTTTTTTGTTTGTTTGTTTGACAGATCGGTGATGTGAAAACAGCAGAAAAGTACTTCCAAGATGTGGAGAAAACCTGCCAGATAAAAGGAAACGACCTCAGTCACACCACGTGTGTTTTAATGAACAGGTGTGGCGTGTATTTATATATCGGTACACTGTTTACGCTTCTCTGGGGTACTTTGACTCATACTGGGTTTTTAGCTGATCAGTACTTCGCCCGCTGAATAGAAAGTTACATCTCTGCTTCTTGGGCTTGAGATGATGTGGATACTGTTAATGATTACTTGAAAAAGGTTTAAAGCAGGGCTGTTCAACCACATTGTTTCGGGGGCCACAGTTACCAGCAATTAAAGTCATTATGTAAATAAAGCAAGCATTACAAAGATCTGTAACCTTTCAATTAGTTCATTTTGCTGCATTTAATCATGAACACAACATACAGAACCCTATATAATATAATAAGTTATATTAAAACAATATCAAACAAAAATAATCTCCTAATTAACACAAACATTATTTTGATCTATTTACCTTGCCACATTTTTGAACCAATTTTATTTTTATTTTAGTTTTATCTTCTGCTGCTTGTATTTTTAAGTGTCTGGGTTTTTATAGAAATGTTTTTTTTTACCAGCTTTTAGCCAAGATTCTGACGTTTCTGTACATACCAAACATGTCTATGTCTATCTTAAAGAACTTAAAGTAAAAGATGAATGAACCAATTGGTGGAGAAAGTTTTGGTCACCAGCCGGCTGCCAGTTGAATAGCCCTGGTTTAAAGTCTGGACTGGATTATTTTCTGTTTCAACCATTCTGTTGCAGATTTTCTCTGTGGGTGAAGTTGTATTCATGCCTCGAAAGGCAAACTGCCAAGAAAAACATGGAACAAGCTGTTGAAATATTTTAGATAATATAGAAATCCTCTGGATTCTAGTAAATAAACTATTCACTGTAAGGTAGTCAGTAGAGGGCGCTGTTCGTTACATTATTTAATAAACAGCTGAGGTCACTAAAGGAAATCAAAACTCCGAGGCTCTGGATTTTATCCACAAGGTGGGGGGGATCTTTCAGTACTTTTCAGTCATGATTATTTGCTGAAGTGAACGAGTGCTGGCCATGTTTGTTCTCTGAGCTCATCAATCATGTGATCAGAAACAGCTGCTCCACACATCAGGACCTGTTTACAGAAGCTGTTTCCAGCTAAACTTTTGTGCATAAACTGAGTTTAGAAGAAAGCTAAAGCATCTTGAGCGTAAAATTGCTTTTCCAAAACTTTAGAAATATTTATGGATATGTGTTTCTTTTTTTGTCAAGTGCCAAAAATTAAAAAGACAAATAGCAAATGATTTGGCTTCAAATCATTATGTATCTACTAATACAATTTCACAGAAATCTGTCTTTTTCTTTAGGGCCTTTGTCTACCTCAGTCAGAACAACTACGCTGAAGCACACATGTCCTTCCTAGAAGTGTTAAAAATTGACCCTAAACACCCTGTTGTAAGTATCACCACACTAAACTGTCACACTTTATAAGTTCTGCAGGTGAGAAGCTGAAAAGCTAAAAACAAAGACGAGGCCGGAATGTTCCTGTTCTGATTCGTCGAACGTGGTTTTCTTCCAGGCCAACAACAACGCAGCAGTGTGCCTCCTCTACCTGGGCCGGCTGAAGGAGTCCCTGGGCCAGCTGGAGGGCCTGGTGCAGCAGGACCCTGCCCTCTATCTGCACGAAAGCGTCCTCTTCAACCTGACCACCATGTATGAGCTGGAGTCATCTCGCAGCACGCAGAAGAAGCAGGCGCTGCTGGACGCCGTGGCCTGCCGAGAAGGCGACAGCTTCAACACTCAGTGCCTCAAACTGGTGTAAGAGGAAGAATCACTGGATAAAGATGCACATCCTACTGCTCTCCTGAGAACAAAGATCTACTCCTGAGAGGATGATTGTACTGGGATTCAAGCACTGCTCCACGTTTCTCCTCGTGTCATCTGGAGAGTAATCCAGTAATCACCTATTTACAGGATTAAAAACTGCTCCAACAGATGTCCTGTATGTGCGAGGTTCCTGTTCGTTTAAATTTAAAAGGATAGTTTTGGCAAAATGTGTTTATTTGCTCTTCTGACTCAGATGAGTATGAAGCTACACCAGCTCAGAAAACAGAAAGAACTCAGACTGTAACATTAAAACACAATGGCTGTTTTTATGTTTCCTGTGCAGAAACGAGGATGTAAAAAGTCCAGTTTTCCAGAAATATGAACACAATTATGTCTTGACCTCAGGTTGTGATGGACAGAGGCTGCTGCGTTAATCTGGCAGTTTATTCTCCGAGATCATGCTGGCTGCATGTTTGTTGCACAATTTTTTTTTCTTTGTCTTTCCGACTCTTTGCACTAATTTTCTTTGACATCTCTGCAGCCAGAAACGAAGTCTCTCAACAGATATTATATAATATAAAGTAGAGCTTTGATCAGCTTTAAGTTATTTTCATGATTGTTTTTCTGGTTGTAGTTGTTGTTGCTAAAGCACCTGTGTTGAGTGCTCCGCCTCACCTGTTTTGCAGAATTGTTTAGGAGTTTGTAGATAGATTTGGAGCTCGTCTAGATATTTCCAGCCTATGCTCACCTGTGTGCGGTCCTGTACTGCTTGTGAACTTAAAGTTGTTGCATAAGGCAGTTCTTGAGTTGTAGCTTCATATTTAGCTCAAAGCTCCCTGTAAGAACTCAAATAAACACATTTCCTTTTAAATTTAAATTTTAACAGAACAAATCTTAACACCACTACAGGGCAGTCTTAAAATTTCTAAGTTGTTCAGTTGAAAAACATAATACACTACCGGAGTCTTTGCATGGGCATTATTATCCTGAGCGTCGGCGTGCTTATAGTCTAATAAACTTCCACTGAGACTCTTTTTATAGCAGCTTCCTCTGCTGTAAAACTGGATTACCACTTGATTTCATCACTCCTGCAGTGAAAATAAACAAGCCCTTCAGATTACATATGTTTCTGTCTACTAATCAAAACATGTAAAACATTACCAATCCAAAGTTGTGTATACATCTGAGGCACTTTGTTTTGCTAAGGCTCTAATTGATTTTTTTTTCTCTCCTGTTTATATATTCTGTGAATCATATTTATGTATTGGTATGTTAAAAAGAAATGACTTATTCTAAAAAAAATCTGATCTTTTAAATAAACAATTTTGATGGAATGATTTAAATTTTAAAGAAACTGGCAAAACAGCAGCTTTATTTTCTGTACAAGAACGGTAGAAACTGTCAGCAAAAACAAGCTGAGACGTGTTCGTTTTCAGAAATCGTGATATAAAATTTTTCGTGGTTCTTTTTAGTTTAAAAAATGTGTTGAAGGTAAGGTTTCACAGTTTAAACTTCAGTAAAAGTACATGACATGCTTTATTAAAAAAAACATTTGATGAATTGACAACTATAGGGCAGTGATGTAGCATGCAAGAGGATGTAGTTTATTTTATTGCGACCTGTAATTTATTTCATTTACTTTTTATCAAACTGTTCAGGTGTGAAATAAACTGCAATAGTTTGAAAACTAAAAAGAAAAGCACAAATGTTATGAACCAAAGGGAGGTCAGGTGCACAAATTCTGAGATTAATTAGCCTCAAGTTAGCAAAGCTACAGTTTTATTTTTTTAAGCTTTGTCCTGATGCATCTCAGTAATCCAGGTAAAAAATCAAAAAGAAAAAAAAACTGTGTAGGTCTTCTGGACGGGTTCTTCTCTAATGAAACGTTTTGTCTCTCCTCCAAGAGACTTCTTCAGTCTGAGAGTTTCAGGCTAAATTCAGGCTTTTAAGCCCTGCCTCCATGTGACTGATACTCACATCATATGGCTATCGTTGACACCTAATTAACAACTATTGTTAACGGGTGGAGTGATACTGGCAATAGCAGCACTGTAGGAGGGGGACAACTGAAAACGGAGGCCTCCACCTCTGTTTAATGATGGACGGTCTTTCTTCACAAAAATGGCTTCTTTTACTCCTCTCTCAAACCAACCAAAGTGGCTTTCAAACCCCAAAACACATTACGGCAAAGGCTGGTTCACCCCAAAGATCCGGTGCCCCGGCACAAACAGCAATGTTGTATATGCTGTTAAGTGCCAGGAAGACTGCAACCAGTTATACATCGGGGAAACAAAGCAGCCACTGTTCAAAAGAATGTCCCAACACAGACGAGCTACATCTAATGGCCAGAACTCTGCAGTTTTCACTCACTTACAGGCCAGCGGTCACTCTTTCAGAGATGAGGATGTTCTCATTCTTGATAGAGAGGAACGTTGGTTTGAGAGAGGAGTAAAAGAAGCCATTTTTGTGAAGAAAGACCGTCCATCATTAAACAGAGGTGGAGGCCTCCGTTTTCAGCTGTCCCCCTCCTACAGCGCGGCTATTGCCAGTATCACTCCACCCCCTGTTAACAATAAGTGTTAATTAGGTGTCAACGATAGCCATGTGATGTGAGTATCAGTCACATGGAGGCAGGGCTTAAAAGCCTGAATTTTGCCTGAAACTCTCAGACTGAAGAAGTCTCTTGGAGGAGATGAAACGTTTCATTAGAGAAGAACCCGTCCAGAAGACCTACACAATTTTTTTCTTTTTGTTTTTTTTAAGCTTTAGTTTAGATTTCACGGCAGGAAAGACTTTAAAAAGTTTAGTGTTCAGTTTGAACTTAACTTTAGCTGTACATCTCACCCTCTTTGCTTCCTAGTTCTGTCCAACGAGGTAAATTAAACAATAAATCAGTATTTAAACTGCAGCTGTTCAGATTATAACATCTACACGTAATGCATTTCTAATGTATTTATGAGCTCTGTTAGAAGCAGTCCATTATTTCATCTGTCAGTTTTTATAAATTCAAAACTTTCCACATCAACTTGTAAACCTATTTAGTGTTCCTCAGAATTTTAGATTGTTTGGTTTGATAGTTTTAAGAGTTTTCTCCTCAGGACCCCTGCAGTGAAGCCACGTATTTGTGACGGATGTCAAAGTCGTCAGCTGGACGGTTGTAGGCCTTCCACACCGGCTCGCCCACAAACAGACGCATGGCTTTGGTGTAGTTCTGAGAGGAAGGAGAAATCAGGTTACCACAAACATCCTGTTGGCTTCGCTCACAAAACAAATTGCACGTGAAAAGCCTGATATTCAAATATTTAACAAACCAAATCTGAAATCTTATAAGTTACAAGTATATAAGCTTTGCCCCAAATCACAAGGTTGGGTTTTGTTGTTTAAATCTGATACATGAGATCGTGTCAGGAGTCCACATTAAATCAGAAGTAAATCCTGTGAACACGAACAAGGCCCAGCTGTGCTGAACCCCTCAGCTGTACCGTCTCATCCAGCGTGAAGCGGTGGTAGATGCCAGCCGGCAGCGTGATCAGGTCGCCCTTCTTCATGGCGATTCGGATCCATCTGTCCTCCTTGTCCCGGACATCGAAGTAGGCCTGGCCGTCCAGGATGTAGCGAATCTCATCGTCCAGGTGTAAATGCTCCTCGAAGA